TTTGGTACTTGTTGCCAGTCCCATGGAGTTGCCCGTGGCACTGGCTGGGCATGGCCCACGTCTCAGATGGCAGGGAGCTGGGAAGAGGCCAGGTGCTGTTACAAAACAGGTTGTCGGCCAACTGGGATCCTGATGGGAGGACTCGGGAAGCGCAGAAGGGTGCATTGCTTTGGGGGATTAATGCCTGTCCTGGCTAGAGCTGCTCCTCACAACTGTATTTGGACATATGACTTAATTCAGATCACTACCCAATCTTCCACTAATAAACACATAGAAGATTTAATGCATTCCACCTGGGAGGAGAGGGCTCAGCCAAGAAGCTTCTAACTAGGTCACTGGTGAGCAATCTTTCCCCTCCCTCTGTGTCATTTTTGTTAATCACTTGAAAAATACGTTGAGTAATGATTGCAAGCAACTTGTCAAGCCAATTAAAAAGAGAGAAAGGTAGGGCTGTGAAGCTGAAGACAAATGCTGTGCAGGTTTTAAATGAGTGTCTGTAAACCCTGCTGACCTGTGAGTAATTACCCCCAAAAAAATTGGCAGCTGCATGTTTCTCAGTGTAAAGGCTTGTTTCTACTGAATCCACAGGGCAAACAGTTCATTATGGTCCAGAGATGTAGCACCAGAGCAAAATCACTTTGAATCTGTCTTGTAGCTGCCCTTAGTCTGGTTTGACTATTAACATATAGACTCTTCAGCAAGGGCTTGTCAAAGGGTTTCATGCACTTTGAGCATTAAATAAAAATAATACGGAGTGCCTACTAGAGAAGGTAGTTTATTGTATGTAGCTTGAACATAAATTCCAATAGCTTTATAATCTGTCTGACTGGAAGATAAATTGTCAAATCTTATTTGATGAGGCTGGACAGTGTTGAACTTCGAGGGAGAAAAAGCCGCTAGATAGTCTCACAGCCACCTTGGTTCGGTGTGGTGGGTTTCCCTGGAGTGGGTTCTCTAGAACTGTTTGGCTTATTCAGCTGTGCGCACGCTAGGATTCTTTTGGTTTGTATTTTATGTGTCAGATGGATTGTGTGTGCTAACAGTAAATATTTGTACTCTTGTATTCCTTTTACTCTATATCTGTACTTTGTCTTTGTGAAATATTGCCAGCCCTGTGGGTGCTATGAAACAAAATCACTCTTCGTAAGACTGTTGCATAGTGTGTTAGATCCTGCTGTCCAGGATGTTTCTTTCCATCTGGTCCTGGTTCAAATCCTCTTCTCAATTCTAGTTGTTGCTTTTGGTTACCATTCGCAGGTTGAAAGGAGATATTAAAGAGGGAGATACAAGTATGTCATGCTGCCTTCTCTTGCTGCTGCTCTGTCAGCTGGGTTGCAGTAACAAATGACAATTAGTTACACAAATAACCTTTCCTATGGGATAGTTGAGAGCAGCTTTTCAATAAAACTGTTTATGAAACAAATCAAAAAGCACATGCTTCCTAAAAGGAGCAGCAGCGAAGGCATGCAGAGGGCTAGCACACCAGCCTGCCACCTCTCCTACATTAGGCTCTTGGTTTGTATCACCTCTGGAAACTCAGGTTAGGGAAGAGGGCAGGAAGCATAAATCAGAGCAAGAGTTTTGTTTTCTGTTGGTATGAGGGACTTGTTTAAAGCCTTCTGCTCTTGCCAAGCAAGAAGTAAAATCAGGGACTGTCTGAACAAAGCTCTTAGTCCTATGGTTTAGTTTTAAGTAGTCCTGTGGGGAGTTGGACTCTGATCCTTATGGGTGCTTTCCAACTTGAGATGTTCTAGGATTCTGTGATTAAATTGTGATTTGGCCCCATGCAGTTGTGGAGGACTTCTCATGTTCTCTTATAACTCTGTTGCACACAGTCTCTTTTTGTCCTCTCCCATTCAAGTTGTTTTTCTCTTGAGGAAAGTAACTGGGTGCCTGAATCCACCTGTGTTTTCTGTGCTCCAGAGTTAATGAGCTCTATGTGGATGACCCAGACAAAGACAGTGGAGGTAAAATAGAAGTGAATCTGAACATCAGTTTGCCAAACCTGCATTGTGAATGTGAGTACCCCTTTTCACTTACTTTCTCTGTATTTTAAGTAGTACTTGAAATGGGCCTAAACTGGTACAGTGGCTCTTCTTCTGTAATAGGGCGGATGGAGATCGAGTAACTGCAGCCTTTGCCAGTACCCCATCGCTTTCCGTTCCAAGCCAGGACACCTGTTTTCTTGGGCTCTGTGCTTGCCCTGCAGCCTGTGTTAGTGCCTGACCTCTGTTGCTGGCTTCTTTCTAAATCTTGTTTCCTTTTTTCATAGTGACCTTTTTGTCTCTGGGAGCAAGAAACTTCCCACGTTTGATTTGTAACTCTGAATGCACGCGCTAGTAGTTGGCTTTCACAAATCACCTGCCTTGTCCACCTGAAGTTTTTCTTTTTATGTATTTGAGATTACAGTCAGCTGGCAGGGTAAGGGAGTTATATTTGTGTCAAATAGGCAGTCTGAAAAGTTTGGTTACAAAGTTCTTTCTGGAGAGCTGGTATAACAATATGTGACAAATGACGTTACTAGTACAGCTTAGTCAAATGTCAGGAAAAAAAGATGTGGATTTTTTCCCAGTAAAAGCAGTGCATGCTTTTCTTATGCAACCTTCCTGTTATTTCTTTTGTTTTGCTTTTTATCTCCTTCCACCCATGCAGTAGTTGGACTAGACATCCAAGATGAAATGGGAAGGCACGAAGTGGGTCATATTGACAACTCGATGAAGATACCTCTAAATAATGGGGATGGCTGCAGGTTTGAGGGCCATTTCAGCATCAACAAGGTGAGCAGCAATGATGATGGATGAGCGTGTGCTGGCTGGGGAAATGCTAGCAAGATCCATTTGTAAAATGTTTGTGAAAATCTGCGTGTCAGTATCTCTCCTGTAGAGTGTATATTCATGTCCCTAATCTCTTAGTGCTGCAGAAGTGTGTGGGCAGAGCTGGCTACACAGTTAGACCCACAAAGAATGTGTTAGATCAGGCTTTTTCTTCATTCTCTAAAACAGGTAACTGAGATAGCGTTGCTTAACAGCAGGGAGCCGCTCTGTGCTGAAGGCAGTGCTGTCTCTCTCAGCACAGCAGCCTGATGTTTAGGGGATGTGTGAACTCCCTTCAAATGCCGAACAGCTTCTGTGTTTACTCGTCACGACTTTTGCACCTCCAAAATGTGACTCACTGTGCAGAGGTCCTTGGCAGTGTCTCTATCCAAGTGCTCTTTTGTTCCGAGAGCCGCAGAATGACAAGAATGTTCCCTACTAGAGGGTGCCAACGTAACAGAAGCGGCTCGACGCTGAGATGTTTGGAATACGTGCACGAGGCCTCTGCGCATGCTTTGTCGGGATGCTCCGCTTCTGTCTCAAAGAATGAAAATCCAGGCCTGGAGGAGGCTCCTCTCTGGGATGGGTGTGTTCAGAATTGAATAATCTTGCTATGTAATGCTGGAGATGACTAGCTGGGGTGGGGGAGGCAGTGGTGGGGCCCACTGATGTCCTAAGAAGGTCACACCCTTTATTCATGCCTCCTCATGTACCACAGGCTACAAAATCCTACTTCCTTCTTTTCCTCCCAGGTCATGTTAAATCACATCTAAAAATAACAGACAGAATCTCTCACTGATTCTGTGGCATGGAAAAGATTAGGGACTTAAAAAGAGGACGTTTCTTTCCTTGCCTCTCTGCCACCAAGATTACTGGCAGCTGATAGGCCACAGAACTGGGAAAGGGCTTCTTAAAAGGTAGTTCTTGATCTGTTAATTCCCAAAGCACACAGCTGAAATACTCAGGATTTTGTCTGTTAGGTGTGGTGTTTTCTGCTCACCAAAGCAACTCAAAAGGCACTGAGGAGCTCCCTTCACGGCTTAATCTGTGAAAGGATGCTAATTGCATTGTGTCCTGCAGTGGCTGGGACTCCTGTCAGAGGGAGGGGACCTGACCTAGGACTTCTGGCTCTGAAAACCCGAACATCTTGTGTATGAGCTAGAAGTCACCAGTCCCTGGGTAGAAATTGCGCAGGCTTCTCTCTCAGCTCGTGTCTGAAGTGGGACATGGCCAGGCTTTGAAACTTGACCAAGGGTTTCACTTGGGTGTTATTCTGAAACCTGAAGAGGGAGGACGAGGTAACAGTAAGATGATTGTGTGTGCTACTTATTGCAGCCTGCCACCCTGTTTACCGAGCCTGTGTATGACACAGCTTGTGTCCACACCTGCAAGTGTTCCCAGGAGTGCACTGCTCTTCTTCAAGTCATTTAAATTAGCTTTCCTGAAAGCACATGGAACCGGCATGTGGCCTCCCGTGGCCTTGCTGCTGAGTTGTCTCTGCAGAGAACACAATGGGCACCAGTTGTATAACCATTCTCCCACTCCTGTCTTAGGCCATGTCAGATTGTTTCTCAATGTTGCTTAATTTCCCAACCTCTTCTCAGCAGAAAAAAATTCTTGCACCCTTCATAACAGTGATTGAGCTGAATCTGCTGAAAGACTTCACAGACTAGGGCTAGTGACCTGAAAAATGTGTGCACGCTAGAGTGATCCCATCAGAATGACACCAGTGCTCTTGGAACTGAGTCCTTAGATGAAATCTGTATTTTTCAGAACTTTATATTTTCTTCTGTTCAAAGAATTAAACCAGAAAATACTGTACTTCGGGGGGCTATTGCCAGGGCCGTAAGCTGAAGATCTTAACTTAGGTTGTAAGGGAACCCCCCCATTGTTGGGGTTTTTTGGAGGGGGATTCTCTATATAAAACTCATTCTTACGCATAATCTTCTCAAATATAAGGTTGCTCATGACCAGTACTACAAGGAGAACATGTCCACAGCTTTCTTGGGTTGTTCTGCAGCAGTGGGCTCATTTACAAATGCAAGATGTGGGAGTAAAACATTAAGCAACTATTTGTTGCCTGTCAGAGACATGAATCTTATTTCAATAGGGATGAAAGACGTAGCCTTAAGTGTTAGGAATTCCTAAAGTTGGGAGTGATCTACTCATCACCTCTGAGCCAGCAGCGGAAGCAGCGATGTGAGGGTGCCAGACTCTTGGGCAGCGGGATGTAACTTATATCTGCTCCGCGTAGAGTCTGGTGGTGTTGGTCAAGTGCAGGGAGGTGTTTTGGAGCCTCTCTCTGACGTGCCAGAGGTTGTCCACTGCGAAGTAGACGCAGCCTGCCAGGCTGGATGGATCCAGGCATTTCTGCTTCATATCACAGAGCCTAACAGTGCCTTGAGGGATAAAATGTGAAATCCTGTTTTCCTTGTCTTGACTAATTTTAGGTCCCCGGTAACTTTCACGTGTCAACGCACAGTGCCACTGCGCAGCCTCAGAATCCTGACATGACTCACATCATCCATAAGCTCTCATTTGGGGACAAGTTACAGGTGAGTTCTCTTCCCTGGAAATTCTCTGGCTCTAGGGAAATGAATGCAATGAGGGTGACTTTGGTATTAGACACTTTGGTTCCATGGAAGGGCCCTGTACAGTGTTGGGAGGACACAAGAGAGGACTGTCAGGCTGAGCAAGCCCACCACTTGCCTTCGTGCAGTATACGCTCAATCTGGAAGAGTTTGCAAACTATTTATGTGCCACCACTTCAGGAAGGAGCAGTGTTCACTCATAGAGCAAATTCACTGTTTCCATCTGAAAATGAAAGTGCTTTTGGAAAACTCTGCAGTGATCTTCCTGCAAGGAGTAGAAATGAGAATTCATGGCTTTGCAAAACCCTATGCAGTACCATTTTCAGTATTAATGCAGTGAAAAAAATCTTGACTGCCTTTGCAGAGGAGCAGTGAGTATACAAAGGGAAGATGTGTCTTTACCATGGCACCAGTCAAGGTCTTTTTAGTTCAGTTCACTGGACTTGTAGAGCAGACACTTATTAGTCAAATTTGTTGTATGAAATGCAAGTTAGACTTAGAACTGCCAGCTCCCTGCTGGGAAGAAGCTGAACCTGCGCGCTTGCCCTGTGGATAGAGTTTCACCAGGTGTTGCAAGTTATGTAATAATTCCTGATTTCTCAATAAGGATGGATTACAGCACTTCTCTAGCCTACTTCCAAAAGGAGCTAGCATCATAGGTGGGAGTTATATATGTGCACACCCAGTTTGCGACTCACCCTAAACATTGCTTACCCTTAGTCTCTCTGTAATCTTCCTCCCTCAGCACAGACGTCTCATTAGTCTGCTTCTTGTACACCCACTTCCAAAACCCTTTTTCATGCTAACAAGTCTAAGCTTTGCTTTGTAGTCTTCTGACTCTGCTCCCGGCTTCTTTTAGGAAATATCATGTGTGGGAACGCTGAAATATTAGCATATAAATAAGCGTGGCTTAATGTCTGCAAAGCACACTGAGATTATGAAAAATAGTAGGTAAGTGCTAATAGGGAGTTCTGCAGTTTGCGTGGGAAATCAGTGCTCCAAGGTAGCGTTCCCATTGTTTTATCGTGGAGTCTTTGGGTAATGGAGCTGAAGTGTGAATCAGCATGAATGAGATGAGAGCCTGGACAGTTGGGGGCAAAGGAAGGAGCAAGCGTCTTCAGTTCTGGCGGTGAGAAACCTGTCTGGCAAACATAGTTGGCTTCTGATTTAGACAAGTTCTGATTAGCATTTTCAAAGCTTAAAATAACTACTCATCATCTCTATACACAAGAATGGAGCAGGTAGGTACTGCTGATTCTGTTGGCAAACATGAGTTCAACAGCGCAAATTAAAGAAGGTTACATTCACTGAACAGGTGCTACCAGGCCTCAGCAAGCAGCGTAGAGAGCCCGCAAGTATGGAGAGCTTTAAATCAGTCTAGATACACCTTTGAATATTTTGGGTTGTCACCGCCTGCTTTGATGCAACATATGCCTGTGTCTTAAAGGGGCTGAGGAGCTCCTCATTTGCTTGTCATGTGCTGGGAGTTAGTTCTTCGTAGGTTGTTACCAGCTCAGCCAGAATGATCCACTGAGTTGCATGCTGTGTTTTCCAGAAAAACTGGTCTGTTTGAACTAGAGGTTTAAATCACATCTGTTGTTGAATGAGCTTCAATTTTTCAACAGTGGTTCATGCACAGTAGTGGCAGACTTCTTGCAGATTTTTCTCTCGTATAGATAAGACCAAAATTCAAACCAATGAGGTTCTTGCACGTCAGGTAACCTAGTGAAGGAAGAGATGTGGAAAATAGGAGATTATACATTTTTAATCACAGAATTCTCTTGAGTTCTGGATCACGGTGTTGAATAATCCTAGTTTTCATCTGTGTGGGAGATCTTCCCTTGATAGTTGCAAGGTTAGAAGTTATTTAGGCTGCTGTCAGACTTCTGCCTGAGTTGTATGTTCAGTTATATGTCTTTGCAAGAGGTTAAAGCCTAGGGTGTTCAAGGCCGTGGCAAGCATCTTCTTGAGGCCTGTGTTGCAGGACAATAAAGCGTTGGTGTTGTTAAACCATGGCCTAGCCTCCCGTGCCGCTACTCCATGCACTAGATTTGGCCTTGGTGGTGCAGGACAGCCCTGGGAACACCTGGCTGAACAAGCTTGCTTAAGTTCCCTGTTGCAAAGCAATTTTGTTACTGTGGCCAAAACCCTACTGTTTGTTGAAGTCCCTCCAAGTACTTAACAAGGTGCAAACAAGTAAGTTCCCCCAAGGAACACACCTGTGCACTCTGTAGAGCTGAGATTAATTAGCTGACCTATGGACAGCAGTTATTGTTACGGGAGTCCAGAATATTCCACGAGGAAAATCGTGGTAAAATGTCAGACTGGCAGTTTCAAATGTCATCCATGTTGCAATGACAAGAGAGACAGATGCACTAAAGGACCCGATGGCACAGAAACAGGCAGCTGTGGAGGTTTCTGGTGGCTTTTTCTTTGTGGAAACCCTGTAACTCTGTGTAGAGATGCACAGTAGACAACTTTTATGTATAGACGGAAGTGTGGTTACTAGGCAGCCAGTGACAAGAACGCAAGTCCAAATATAGACGTCCTTCACAGGATAGGTACAGTTGTTTGTTGAGCAACCATGCAAATATTTATTGTAAGAGGCTTACTTCTCAGCTGTACCAAGAATGGAACATAATACTGAGGCCCAGTCCAGTGTCTTCTCTCTGTTGTGTAAAGGATTTGAACTGCCAGCAGACTGAAAGGCACTGTAGAAGGTTGAGCTGTTGCTTTTACTCTGTGCTTGTAACCAGCACCTTGCCAGCTGAACTTGATGATACGGTATCTCTAGAATTTCCTTTCTCAGGAGAGAAATGAGTTCAGTTACTGCTTCCTCCAAACCATCGTCCGCTCCATAACATTCAGAAAAGGGAAACAGTCATTAGGGTAAGACAGATACATTCTCCTGCTGTTGAGGGGGTTGAGAGGGTCTGTGAAGGAGATTGCGTTGGCCTGACAGTGAGGTGCAGCTCTGTCACACTGATGACCAAGTACTTCTTCCCAGCCCTTCTTCCCTGTTCTCTGGCTTAAGGTCAGGAATTTCTAGGTCATGGAGCTGTTTGTCCTTTCTGTGCAGCTTACTGTACGTTACATGAATGATGCAACCTCTATCTACAGCTGTTGCTCTGGGGTTTTCGCTGTCTAGAGAGTTCACAAATCGGTTGTTCTGTTGGTGGACATCAGACTCCAGATCATAGTATGTGGAAGGCATGGGGTGGAAATCCTGTTATTCTGGGCAAACGGATACTTGCCTGCCTGGGATGGGCTGCAGGCAGAGCTGAAGGGGTGGCTGTGTTGGCAGGTGTGCTTCCCATCCCCAGTGGCACAGCGTGCGTGCTGTGAAAGCTGGGCTAATGACTTAAACTGTACAAGCCCAGCTGCTCTGACGTGAGCTGCCTTTATGGGAGACCTCTTGAATTTTAACCTGAATATGACTCCCATTTAATTTCCTTTTCAGTCTGATAAGTGAAATTCATTGTTAACTATGCAAAGTTCTCTTGGGAAATACCTCCCGATGAAATTTCACAACTGGCCTCTTCCAACTGTAATTCATTTAGCTTTGGAGTGGTTTTGGAGTTTCATCTTGTAAGACATTGTGAAACTAACTTTTTTACTTGGAACTGACCTTTGTGTTGACAATCACTGAGGGATATTTGAGGTCATCTTTTACTAGGTTGAGGCTTTGGTTTTGAATCAGGCTAGTCTCCTTGTTACAGGATAGGATAGGGAAGCAAAGATCAAGAGTACCAAGATTTCTTCATGCACCTTTTTGCCTTCCAGGTCCATAACGTTCATGGAGCATTCAATGCCTTGGAGGGAGCCGACAAACTCAGCTCAAATCGTATGTATTCTTGGTGATTACAGGTCTTAGCTACTTGCTGCAGGAGGGAAAGTAGGGCCATTCAGTAGTACTGGTGTATCCAGAGGTTTTTAGTTTGCCTCTTTAACCAAAATGATCCGGGCACTGCTGACTGACATTTCCATTTCCTCCAGAATCAAAGAGAAGGCTGAGCCCAAAATGTCCTTTGCAGTCCTTCTGCAACCTGGACATTGTCTCCAGCTCTGTTATGACCAACTCAAAACTACTGAGGGATTTTTGTCCATATTTTATTCCTATATCTTCCTTTTGCTGTTGTCACCACCACCAGAAGTTTTCCTTGTTCTTGCATTGCAAGTTGGCTCTGCTTTGAGTTCTACTCTGTGGCCAGGAGGATAAACATTTTCATTGCGCTTCTATATGACCAGCAACACAATAAGAAACTTCCAGTCCCTGCTATAGTTCATCGTAGTTTCTCTCCTTCAAATGTTCAGGCTCCTGCAGGATATCATTCTTGTCTGCTTCCTGGAACAAAGTTTCTATGGCTGTTCCTGGAGCTAGGCAATTACGAGGTTTTTTTATTCTTGGTTTGTTTTGGTTTTTTTTTAATTTTTTCTCCAGGAGCTAAATGTCATTGTGTTAACATTTGGCCAAAGGATCCTGCAGATGAATTATTTAGTATTCTGTTTTAGAACTGTTTCAGCAGACACAAAACTGACACAGGCCATTTAAATAATGAAAAAAAAGGTTAATAATTGTTAAGCAGCTGTAGGAGAAGCAAGAAGAGAAAGAAAGATGGATGCGTAAGAAATGGGACCTACACAGGTTGTGATGCCTCATCTTTTTCTGTCAAAAAAAACCTCAGTGAGCTGCAGCTCTAACCTTAGTTCTTGATTTAACCAGGACAGCTTTTTGTGGTCCCGATAAGTCTTATAATTTGTAATTGCAAGAAGTTAGGAAGGTTCAAGTGACCCAAACTCATCTTTGTGGGTTTTGGTACTACAGAAGTCTCAGAATGGCAAGAAGGTTCTGATGTCATCCAACTACCTCACAAAAAGACATAAATGTAGGATGTGAAATTTTCACTTTGTCCCAGAACCTGAGGTAATGAGGAGGGAGATACCTTTTCTGTGACTTACTTATTCTGGCTGATTTTGCACATTTACTCTGAAGTGTTGTGTAGGCTGTGATTCCTTTCTCTGAAAGCTAACGTATTCTTTCCTTTCCTGACCACAGCTCTTGCATCTCACGATTACATACTGAAGATAGTCCCGACGGTGTACGAAGACATGAGTGGCAAGCAGCGATACTCATACCAGTATACTGTAGCAAATAAGGTAAAGAAGCAGGTAGTGCTCAGAGAAGCTCCTCGTTGCAGCCCAGTGGATGCATGGAGGATCTTCAGCCATCGTTCCTCCTCCCTCTTGCTCCTCTGCTCTGCAGCCTGTACACTCGTTTGTAGGTGAGCAGTAGCCTCTGCTGGGAGAACGAGGAACTGAAGCTCTTCAGCCTGGGCCTTCCTGTTGCTCCTGGTGCTGGCCTTTACCAGGGTTGCGATTGCGAGGGCTTTGTCAGAGGAGCCAGTGCTATTGTTTTAATTCCCAAGAAAGGTATTCTTACTCCTGACTTTCTCATAGGTCAGTTTAACTGATCTACGAGTCGTGTGGAAAGTTTTTATGTGCTGCAGGAGCTCTAGTGATTTGTGTCAAGGTACATCTGGATAGAAGCTGCAATCCAGCTGAATGTTTAAAACAGCACTTACAGATGGTTTTATTAATAAAACAGCCTTAATTGAGAAGGAGGTATCTGCCAAATAAGTCAGCAGAGTTTTAAGCTTTTCACAAATGTTGATTTCCCATGGTGAGCTACAGAACCTGCAGCAGCAAATGCATACTGGTTGACTGTTTCATAGTGCTTGGTTTATTATAGTGGATTATCACAGCTGTTGTAAATTTATAGTTCTTCAACTAATTTACATTAATGTGAAGGTATTTGTATTCTAATAGAACAATGTATTGAACTTTAAAAAAAAAAGATCCTATTTACTTTTTAAGGTAAAAAGCCCCTTTCAATTTAAAATGATTTGTCAGTCAGGTGCTAAATGAAAGACCAAAATGTTTATAATATCTAATTGCTGCTAGTTTGTCATAACTGAGAATCAAACACGCACTTCTGGACCAGCTCTCAGATGAGCGTTCCTGTCTAGTGACTTTTGGGCTTGCTTGTACAGTGTGTCCCAGTGATTTGGATGTCTCCCTCTATTCAGATTACGATGTATTTGTTCTGGTTAATGTCACAACTGTTGTTCTGATAAGACTCTTGCAATGCAAGTTCTGAAAGTAATTTGGAAAATAGACAGTGGGAGCTTTTGACACTTCTTTGAGCGTGGTTGCGAATAGGGGCATTTGGCCAAGACTGACTCATTAGGGCAGGATTGCTGGTGGGGAAAAGGGGAGAGGAAGGAAAAAATGAGGTCAGTTCTATCAAAACTGAAGTGCGGAGAAACAGTGCTGCCTCTGCGTTTTCTTCTCATTAAAAATAAAAGTTCTCTTAGCAGTGTTTTAGCCTTTATTCCCGTACAGATCTGTGGGAAACAAAATCATTGGAATAGTCTGTCACAGACTGACTAGTATGAAGAGATGAACTGAGTCTTAGGTGTGGATTGTCTGTCTCCTTTCCCCTTTTATGTCCTAGATCCTCTTTTTCCTCACTTCCCCAAATAGCCACTGTCCTGCAGTACTTCTGCAATAAGAGCACTGAAAATATGACAAGGGACTTCAGCCCAATTCTAACTCTCTTGTGATCCATAGAAAATAAACTAAATAGAGGGAGATTTGGGATTTATATGAAATTAATGATGGAGATAGATGCTATTTCACCAGCTCCCTGTGAGCTTACAAAGAGTAAAATAATCTTTATGTCATGCTCATGGGTGTCCTATTGCATGTTCTTTCTTCATCTTTCTGAAGTATTTGAGGTTGTCTTTGCCTCTGTGTGAAGGAGAATTAAAACAGGTCATCTGTGTTGGCAGGCGCATCGTAGGGCTAAAGAGGGGAGGAGCAGCTGGGTGAAGAGGCAGCGTGTGCCGGTGCTGGTGGTTCTCGTTGGATGGCTGAGTCCCCAGCGTGCTTTTCTGTGATTTTTCTTCAGTCTGTCAAGATAAATGTCCTGATCCTTGAAAACTGATAGATATTTCAAGCGAGAGCACAGGCCAAATATTAGCTAAAAAAAAGATGTGACTTCTGATATGAGGTTGATGTTATTGTCTGTTCTGCAGTGGCATTGTGCAGGGTGGCTTGTTGGGGCTGATTGATTACGTTGTACCTGTTACTAAAGAAACAGATTAAAGGAGATTATCACTGACAATCTAAAGATGTCTGTCCCTAACCAGCTTGGAATATGTTTTGAACCTTTGCCAGTATTTTTCTGTATACAGTTTCACTTTGGCTTTCAGCTTGATTTTTAAATGTGGCTCCTTGTGCTTCATACTGAGTGGGCAAAGCGTTCACATTGTTGGTCCCGGTGTGATGGAGGCTTTACAGACAGGAGCTGCTGCTTGCTGTTCTGCGTGCATGGGCAAGAAGGGAGTTTTAGGTTCTTGCAAACTAAGTTCCATTTGTTTGGTGAATATCCCAGTATACGATTTACATACTGACAGTACAAAACCTTCACCTGCAACCACTTAAGAGACTGCTTGTATTTAAATAGAGCATATCTAAGCTAGAGAAATCAGTGACATCCTTTCTTTTTACTTGTGTAATTTGGAACAAAGGTGAGAGTAAGCACCATCACTCTGTTCCCAGCTATGTCATTGCCAGACTGTAAAGAACTTGTTTTCCTATTTGATAAGGATGGGGGTGGGCAGTCATACAGGAATTAACTGTTTTCTTCTTCCAGTCTGATCATTAGAACAAAACAGTGGAGTAAGGGCCAGACCCACAGAAGCAGTTTTATTGCAGACACTCTATCTGCAATGAGATTGCTCATGTTTTTTTCCATTTTTCTCCCTCTTTCTTTTCTAGGAGTACGTAGCCTACAGTCACACTGGCCGCATTATCCCAGCTATCTGGTTTCGTTATGATTTGAGCCCCATCACAGTGAAATACACAGAGAGGCGACAGCCTTTGTACAGGTTTATCACATCGGTGAGTTACTCTAAACCTCTAATTTTCCCTTCTCCTGCCTGCCTTTCATTTCTCTTCTGAGCCTTTCTTGTCCAGAAGAATTGAGTTTCTGCTTCAGAGCGTTGTGGCATGATTGAAATAAAGCACTACATCACCGCAATTGTACTCAAGTGTTGAGTGAGGTAATTGGTAAGCCCTATGCTATGACAATTTGATTTAATAGCTAGGCACAAGAAGAAAGAAAATTACCCTGTTCCAGAAGTGCCAAACTGTCTAGGCAGGAAAGGCACTGTTGCAGCATGTCAGAAACTTGGAAGTAAAGCTAATGTATGCAGCAAAGCATGCTGCAATAAACCATCTCTCTAACGATGAATCTCACTTGCAGAGGATGCGGGGCAGTTGTTTCACTCAGTGATGCTGCTTGGCTTAACATGGGTGTGCCAGTTTCAGGTATTTTCTCTTGGGCAGAAGTGGAGAAGAGCTGCATTTTCGAATTCCAGAGGTGTTTTCCTGATGAGTTATGTTTTGATCTGTCCAGATAACATCCTGCAGTACTGATCTTAGCATCTTTAACAGAGATGTACCCTCCAAACTGCCAGTTAGGCGAAGCGCTATTTAAAGATCTTCCAGAACTTTAAAAAATGTGTCCTGAAGGAGCTGGCTTAAAATTTAAGCTGCAGTCTGTTCTATCAGTGAGGCATGGTAGAATGTGAAGTGGTTGATAAATTGACTGGAATGAAGACCTCGGATTTTGATCTGTTAAACTGTTTAAATATTTTAGTTGGAAGTAACATAAACAGTGTGGCTGTGTCGCACTTAAAGTTTTTGATTTTTCAGCTTCTGATAAACACTAAGTTCCCTTCACTTAACATTAGAAATGCATGTGATCTCTAGGATACACAAATATCAAGAGAAAGAGACTTGAATCAAAATCTAAATGTTGTGGTTTAAGACCTTCTCTTCTTAGCATGTCTGTTTGGTTTCAAAATATAATCCTAAAAAAGGTCAAACATCAGCATTTTATGACTTGGCAACTTATACTGCCTCTGTTTCTTTCCTGAACAATATGCTCTCCTAGGTTTCTTATGCATCTTGCTGGGAGTGAGGGTGTGGAGGCATTTTTAATGGGAAACAGTGTTTGGAAATGATTGATAGCTGGCATTATTCTTTGTCGTGTCCATTGCTAGCATTGATTTACTGCTGATATGCCATTGTATGCATATAAATAGCATCTTTGCTGAATTTGATACTGTGCTTCAGAGTTTACATAAGGAGTCCCCAGGGAGAGGCTTTTCTCACTGGATGCCACAATGACCTTTTGGATTTGAGATGGCCCCAGCTAGAATTTTGCCCCATCCTGTCTGTAAAGTTAGCCAGGCACATGCTGGCTGCTGGACTGCTGAAGAATTTTATAATTGATTTTTGTCTACTTTGTTTGGTCTTATAAATGCCTGTCGTCTCAAGCAGCTCACTCGGCTATTTCAGTTGAACATCCTTCCTGTGGACACGCGTGGATGCTGTTGCTGTCTGCAGGAGCTGTTAGGAAGTGCGTCAGACAGGTGTGCCAGACCCTCGTCAGACGTGGCTGACTTAGAGGCAGACCTTGTTACAGCTGCTGTGTTGTGGCTGTCAGTCGGGATCACTTGGCCCTGGTACAGGTGACCTGCTCTTGCTCTCATTTAGGCTGGGAATGTTCTACAGTAGGGCAGCCTTGGCTCTGTATGTGCTACACTTGAAGCTTTACGGCGTTCAAGGTGGCATTCAAAAGGTTGGAGGTGGGAGCAGTTCTGCAAAAGATCAAAACAGCCTTTGTCCTAGGTTTCCTTGCCCTGTTTTGATGACACGATCTGTTCCGTTGTCCTTTCCACTGCTTTAGCCCCTTCCTGTATCTCCAACGTGGCCTTTTGCATCACAGTTGCTCTGGAGACCAGTGAGTGATGATCAGCACTGGGCTGAGGTCCAGAGATTGTGCTGGGGCAGCTGGAGTCATTGCCAAATGGGACTGGCGGTGGAAAGCATCAGCTTTTTCTGAGCAAGCAGCTCCTTAGTTTGAAAGCCACAAAAGGGGCTCTGGAGTAGGGGAAAATCACCTGTGACTCTTTTTTAGTGAACAGATTGTTTATTAGAGCACCCATGTAGCTTTTGGTGTATTTAAATGTTTCCCTGGGGATGTGGGAGGATCTTGTGGACTTAGAAGAGACTTTAGGGAGGAAATAGCATCAATGTTGGAGGGAAGGACGCACTCTGGAGGAACGATCAGATGAGAGGGGAGTCTTGGCTGCTCAGCAGAGACCCAAAGGAATCTCATTCTGCTGCTGGGAAGGTTATGTGATGCTCCTTGTTAGTAATGAGTTTCCCCCCTAAAAATTTCAGTGCTGCTCAGAGCAGCATTACAGCACTGTAGCGGTGTTCCCAGGTCTTCTGTCTTCTCAGCAGACCCACTCAAACTTAAGCCTTCTCCTTTGTTTTTTGTGGTGCAAAGAATTATCCTAATTTTTTGGACCAGAAGAGAGATGCTTCCTGTGCAGGACAACAGGTATTGCTTTAGCATAGATTTTACTTTACACGTCATGCTTCAAAAAATTGAGTACCAAATAAGATATTGTATTGATTATGGGTCAGTGCTTCCACTGTCACCGTGCTGTGAATTTGCTGTGGATCCTGGGGTTAACCACAGACTCTTGGCATAGTGTTAAACACAGTAGTTTTTGCCTGTTAAACTACTACTTAAATCAAGGCGTCTCTATAAAGAGAAGCCATTCATGGCCTTGTGGTTGAGGTTATACAGCAAGAGGAGAAATTGCACTTCTGAAAATTTATGAGTTCCTGTAAGTGGCCAAACTGAAAGATTTTATCATTAGGTCAGTCTAGGGGCTGAGATGGAAGAGTAGGCAGAAAACAAGCCAAAGTTCTGCTGAAGCATTTAAAATGCAAAGAAAAGAACAGTTGTGGGTTTTTTTCCCTGATACAAGAGGACTCATATACCCTCTATGTGTAGAAAAAAAAAATTTAAAAAAAATGGAAATAATGTGGAGGTGGGAAGTGGTTGCAAGGAGAGTTACTTCAGACATAGGACCTGTTACTGACAGGTATCACAGACTCGGTCCCGTGGTGCTTTTAAAACCAAGACAGTGTTGTTCTACAAAGTATGCTGCAGGTCAGGCAGAAGTCTCTGGGTGGGAGTCTGCGTCTTACCTTACTAGGAATTACCTGGAGATCCTACAGGTGCCCTGTTCCTAAAAGGAATTTTCAGATTTTAAGACATCCCAGAGGTCCACAGTCACATACCTGACACTTGCCTTTCTGTCATCTTGCAACCTTGTCACCTCCTACATATCTGCTCATGTTTTCCTTTAGACTTTAGCCTGCATCCCAGCCACCGTTCCATGATCTTATTCTGTTCAAAATCCTCGTGTGTGCCTCATGTTGCATGGGCTTTCATTACTGCAATCATTACACTTTCCTATTTCTTTTCCTTCCTCCTTTAATGGTTGGACCCAGCAACCTCACGGAGCCAGATGCAGATCATTGCTGATATAAAACTCCATTGAATGTAAATCCCGTTCGGTCCCCATGTGTTGCCTGATCTAGTCGAGAGGTGGCGTCCCTGGTGGCAGGGAGGCTGGATTAAAATGATCTCTAAGGTCCCTTCCAGCCTAGGCCATTCTGTGATGATGATGATGATGATGATGATGAAATAAGTTTTTGATGCCTAACTCCCTCAGTGCTGCTGAAGAGCGGCGCCCCATACGTATTAGAACTGTGGTGATCAAGAAACACGATGGTGCAGCTTCTGTGCTGACCTAGAGACCAACGCTGCTGGTGCTGCCTGGTTTTTTGTCGCAGTGGAACAAGAGGGCTGTGTGCGTGCTGGGAGGCAGGCTCCGAGCAAATGCCAGGTGTGTGTGACTCATAGACACTCAGCAGTACAGAGCTGTGCAGATGAATTTTTTATTTTTTTTCCTATTCCCCACCCCCTTGCGCTGCTGCACTGAAATCAGATTTTCCTACCATATGATGCAAAATCTTGGTGTTGGATGGTTCTTCTGTTGTTTGTGGTGTAACATCTCCTGTCAGCTGAGCTGCTGTGGACTGAAATAACCCGACTCCATGGCGGTCATTTTCCCTGAAAAGTCACCCTGCACCCTGCTCTGGGGGATCGCGAGTTGGGGGGCACAGAGGGCAGGAGCTAGACCTGTCCCCTAAAAGTACTAACTTTGCGCCAGGCTAGTGCTCTGCTTTGTGGAGCCTGACCTGCTGGAGTGCCAACTGTCCTGCAGAAGTGTCATTTCATCGAGCTCCCTAAACGCACATATCCCGGTTATAAATATGCATGTAAATGAGCGTTCTGTTTCTTACTGCCTTCACTCACCATTAACGAACTGTTTGTTCTGTTGCCACTGCTCACTCCCTGCTGAGCTGAGCGCTGCTGCTGTTACTCCTTTGTCTGTAAATTGCCCATGGGGTGTAGTGCTGTGTGGGAGAGGAAACACGTCTCGGTAGGTCTGCTGTGACACCGGTCCCCTTCCATGTCAGTTGTGTTGCATTTCCCTGATGCCCTGCTACACTGACTTAGTGATTTGGGATTTCTCTCTCTCTTGGCTTTTAGCTCAGAGCAAAATCCCCCTTTTCCTAGGCCGGCCCTTCTCAGGAGATAAGCTCTTGTATCTTGTCTCCTTCTCAGTGATCCAAGCGTCTCTTTTCCTCAGAGCCGCCTAGTCCTATGCGATGTAACAGATTGAGTTCAAAGAGCATCACAGTCATGAAGTCAAAAATGTGGGAGTTAGGAAATGCCGGGTCCTATATAATTATAACTTGGCTGTTAAATGTTATTGTTACGTGAGTGTGCATCATATTTTCCACGTGAACTCTGCCTTGTGCAGTGCACGGGGTGAGTGCGGTTTCTTCCCATCCTACGGTATCTGACTGCTGCCTCGTTACTAGCAGGTGGTTTGTGTTAACCTGCTCCTGAGTACAAGTCATATGTTTCCACCAGGACTCTGAGGTGGCTGTTCTCATGGTATTGAACCCTTCAAAAGTATTTTCCTTTGCAGTTTCCCTGGAAGACAAGTTTGACATTGTTCCCATTTCATAGATAAGGGAATTTGCAATGTGTTGCCAAGTCCGTAACGGGTGCCTCCTGATTTCTGGTGCTCCAGGCCCAAGTACCTTTAGTGTGACGTGTCAGAATACTGCTTTTTTCTAGCACTTGAGAACTGAAGTAGGTTGTTGTGCTATTCAGGACGTTATTTTTTTTCCCTAACTCTGTTCTTGAAAATGATTACACGTTTTTACTGGCATTTTAATAATTCAACCCGAGACACCTTGCATGGAAAACTTTGGCCCATAAAGAGTTAAGTTGGCAGTGCTTTTATAAGCAGCCCTCGTAATGGAAAGTGTTAGACAGACTTAGCTGTAGGTGTCACTGGTAGCTAGGCTTCTCTGTTAGTCACTGTCCTGCACATGCTATTTAAGTGTCTTTTGCCCGTTTCCAAATGCCTTATCTTGTGAAATTGGGAGAAGACTACAAGGTTGTGGTATTTTTAATAGAAAACAGTAGTAGGAAGATATGAGCAACACAGAGCTTCTAGAAAGCTTTATTAGGTGGAGTTTTAGCCCAGAAAGGAACAGCAGTCGTGCTGTAGGCTCCTAGGAGCTGGGACTTATGATTGCTTCGGGCTATGATGAGTTCAGGATAGCACTAAGTTATTCCACTGTAAGGAATGGTTTGCCCGAACGATTGTCATGTAATTACGGCCCCCAGTTTCAAACTGCATAAAAGTTTCCCTCGTCACTGACAAGCCTATTTCTTCTCTCTGTACATTTCAGATATGTGCCATCATTGGAGGAACATTTACTGTAGCTGGGATCCTCGACTCCTGCATTTTCACCGCATCAGAGGCCTGGAAGAAGATCCAGCTGGGGAAAATGCAGTAACGGTGAAACTCTAACCTAGTCTCCAAGGAGAAAAGATTGAGAAATCTACCACTACCTGTTTTTGTCTTTATTCTCTATTTGATTGAATCAGTAAGTTTTTCTGTAATCAGGCTGTTCGGTGAAGATGTCTTCAAGAAATCAAAGAAATCTCCATGCATTTCAGAGCTCCGATAGTGAAAAAATCAATGGAATCGGGGTGTGGGTTTCGATTCTCTCCCCCTAGAAAGAGAGGTTGAAATGCCATATGTGAAATACCCTGTCAGATCTAAGTAAGGGTAGTAGTCTGTTCTCTGGGAGGTTCCTATGGCAGTGTGCAAACTAGGTAGTAGATTGCAAAGAGTTGAGCTGTCTTGTGGCACTTTTTGGAATTCTGTTGGGTTTGCATGATTAGACAATCGACTTTTGTATAAGGCAAAATTATACATTAGGAAGAAATTCCACCCGTGGTGCCAAAAAGGTGATGTATCTGTTGGTGAGGAATGGAAAGTGTTAGTTCCTGTAGCAAACTTTAGAGACAGAGGGCAGAAATAACATCAGTAAATGTTTTGTGCTTTTATTGAAAGCTCTTTTGTTCAGATATGACCTTTCTAAAGAAATGAGCAAATGAGAAGAGGAAGCCTTCCCCTAGTTATCTTTTCCTGGGCAATCAGTGATCCAGGCAGTAGAGGGCCTTTCTTTTACTCTGGATGTAAAAGTGGTTTCATTTCTTCCCAGAAACTGAATATCCAGTCTTGTGTTTACAGGTGGCATGAAGTAAAAACCAAACTGAGCAACACAGTTTTATGTGGCCTTTGCTTTGAAAGGGAATAGTTGTCTTTACGGCATTAGTTTTTATTCTTTCTTATGTTTTTTAAGCACAGACCACCCAACAGTCTGGATTCTGCACTTCTACTTTGTTATTATTATTATTGTTGTTGTTACTTTGCAAAGGGGTTGTATATTCTGTGCGTTCAGAAAAATGGTGCAGTCTTCTGGGTGGATGAGCACAGCTCACTGTCTTGCTTTGTGTGCGCATAGTGAATACACCTGTCAAACACGGGAAGTGTGTCTTTTCAGGGTTTAAGGTGCCTCCCTTTTCTTTTAAAATTCAGTCAGGCATCGTTTCTGAGCCCTAGACTGACACTGTTCACCCGCAGGTACACCGGTAAGCAGGGCAGGCATTCCCACAAGCTGGCCCCTGCTAGTACTTGTTTTGTTTTATTTCTTAAAATGGTACCTGAGCTTCCATGCCCATTCATTCAAGCCTTGTCTTCTGGGGCCTCCAGTATGTAGGTGTGAGGGGAAAACTACTGCCAGGTGTGGCTTGCATGTAATGGTAGACATGAGTTCACTAAAATTAGATCAGTACCCACCAGCGCATTTTCCACAGCCTTCTAAATGTTCCTTGAGTAGTAGCGATCTCTGCATGCTTCATAAATGTCTGAGCTGAGGATGCACAAAGTCAATGCTGTAAATTCTAAGACAGGTGCAGGATTTCTCTTGGATAATATCAACTGCCCACTGCCCTTTCCGGAGGCAAAAGTGTCCAGACGTTATGCTGTAATAATATGAATGTTTGAATATTCAGTGTTAATACTAGAGTCAGATGCATTTCAAAAGTATTCCTAATACACGGCTGTTGGAATTGTCTCCTTGCTTTGGAAGTGGGGAAGGGAACCAGTTTTATCTACACACCAAAAAGCAGCAGCCAACTGCCCTTTACCTGTCGTCCTCTGCCCTGTAGTGACTTCGGACAAATTACAGCATTGGAATTTTTCCCTGTTCTTATTATGGACTGATTGCTATGACTTTAGGTGTAAACTGGATTGTGTAACTTCCTGTATCTGTTAAATGTATGGATAGATTTTATACATTTTTTTCCATTTACAAAAATCAACTTGAAAATGAGATACTTGTCTTCCTTTCGGTGCGTGCGTCTGTGTGCCCGTGAGCTGTACCCGCTGGGTGTCAGCAGCTGCCTGGTGGGAGATGGGATTTTCCACTGCAGTCACTTCTCTTCTTGGTGGCTGAAGGATTTCCTCTAATCCACTGTGACCAGCTGAAGCTTACGGCAAAAGTGTCCTAGTTTTCCCTCTTGAATTTGTGGAGTCTTTGCTCACAGCTTGTGAACCCAGTGGATTACAAGGATGTAATTTTTAGTATCTTAGCAGTGCGTTCTTCTTAGCAGTTCAAGAGAAGATCTTCATAGAGTGGATTTTACCGTTTTCTGAAATTTTTTCACTGTTACAATTTCTTTGATACAAACAAGCAAAGCTGCTTGCAGATTCCTTGTGTCCCATGGTGCGTTACTTCAGCCCTTCTCCTCATCCTCTGTCCAAATTAAACTCTGCTTTCTGTGCGGTCCAGGCCAGTTCTCTAAACCAGACCAATGAAATTGTTTGGCTTCTTTTGGAAATAGCAGATGCATACTTGAGTATGCTTGCTTCCTCTGCCAGAGCGTCCACTGCAAGAACCTAATAAATCACACTTTTTTGCTAGATGTGGAAACGAAATTGTACTCAAGTTCTGGCAAAACTCCACTGACGAAACAGCCTCTAAACCAGGTCTGAGTACTGCCAAGCCAAGGCTGCCTCCTGGGTTTACTGTAAGTTGTGGCAAGCTCGTCCTTCAGCCGTGGCTGACTCGGGTCACGTAATGATGCTGCCTCATGTGTTTACGGAAGAATCTGCTCTTCATCTTTCCAAATGTGCAAGCAAGGTAGTTACTGTTACAGCAGTCCTGCCCCACAGTGCATGTCTCATTAGATTTCACTTTTATTTTCAAACACTTTCTAGAGACAAAATTACTTTAGTAAGGGTTTTAAACATCAATGCAAACAAAAAACAATTTCAAGCCATAGCGCAAGGAAAACGGCGTTCATCCATTTTCCTGACTTTGCTCTTTCAAGTCAGTATTTTGACAGAAGTATTTCTGGTTTTCCAGAAAAGACATCCCTGTAGAAAGTAAAATATTTAGAAATTGTATATATTACAGTTTAGATAATTTTCTCTAAAGCTACACTCCATCATACAGTGAGAACTTGATGGTGTAGGACGCTTTGCAATGCTGGAGTTAAAATTTTTAGCTCTTGAGAAAGCTGTGCTTAGATACATTCTAGGCAGTAGGTGGGTTGCTGAAGATTATTTTTTAGGAAAAAAATGGAAATGGGGTAAGAAAAAATTGAGAGACATGCATTTGTGAATGTTTCATCTGATGTATCAAATACATTCAACTACTGCTGTGTAAAAAGTGAAATCGGCAGTGCAGATTTTAGTGTCGGTAGTTAATTTCTGGATATCTCTCATCGAAAGTTGCTCTTTATTTGTGTGATGAACAAACTGTTCAGGCCAAAAATGACCGTGATAAGTATCTACTTTAAAGTGGTTGTTTCGTATGAAGTATGTCAATGAGGTATTTCTCAGTAGTTCTTGACGGAAGGGAGAGGGGCGTGGGAGGGAGGACACAGTCCTGGAGTGTTACGTCAATGTTTAAAGCACAAGTCATTTTTACAGTGGAGACTATTAACAAGTTCTGGCAATTCCCTTTTAATTTGCAACTGTTATGTTAATGTTAGCCTTTTCAGTTCTATAATTAAAAATAAAATTCTCATATTTTGATTGGCTTCTTGTTGCACTACTGTGGCAAAATTGATCTAGAAGGGCTTTTTTTCTTTTGTTTTTAATTATTATTTCAGTGAACTAAGCATTATCACACAAGGAAATCGCTGTAAGCCAGGTCACTGTGTGGAAAGTTAACACGAGGCTCTTTTGTAATCAACACTGAGTCATGTCTGGACATTCAGTGCTTGGTTTTGAATAGTACCAAGTGTCCTAACCTCCCTTTTTTTAATGAGAGGTGAGTGGACTGTGCTTGGTTTGGCTTTAGTCACTGTGCCACTTGGTATATAAAATAACCTGACTCCCCCCCTCCTTTAATTTCCTTTTAGCCTTGCTACACTAAGTATTTAGAAATAAATGTCTGAGGCAATTATTAAAGTTAAATAGTAAAGGGTTACAACAGAGAATTTTGGGCATTATATATCTGCACTGTATTAAGAAACCAATTCCTTTTAAGTTCTTGAATTGCTGACTAACATTGGTGTCTGCTGTGCAACATCTTCATGAAGAAAGAGATCCTCCCTGCTTCCAAGTAACCTTAAGTGCAGATTGAAACTCAGATTTCCAGAAGTGACAGGATGGTGCTCAAGGTTTCTTACTCTGCGTGAAAGAGGAGTAAAGGCACGGGGGAAGGCCAGTTCAACCACTTGGAGACTTTTCCAGCCTATCTTTGTAAACCAAACCCCAGTCAGGTGTCTGTACTGCCTCTCACCCCGTTGATGGGTTCATTTTTACCAGCAACACGTTCTGCCATAAGTGAGAATGAATTAGCCTGTGTGCAGAAATGATGTAATTGCACCAAATCTACCTGGGATGGAAGCAGTTTGCACAGGTAAGTTGGTTTATGGAGATGGGGGTGCAGGGGGTGGTGTGATGTGCGCGGGAGCAGGGTCTGGACTGAGGAGTTTGGACTGGGCAGGAGCCCCAGGGCACTGATCTCCCTTTTGGCTGCGGGCTGCGGGCGTGCGGAGCGGGGCCGGGGCGGAGGGAGCTGCTTGCGGGTTTCTCTTCCTTCCCCCGTGTTCGGGAGGGGCCGCGCTGGGAAAAAAGCAGCTGCTGCTGAATAGCTCTGGCTCTGGGCACGGAGAAAGGGGGGATGCGGGAACAGATGCCTG